ACTGTATAAATCGTATTCTTGATATCCATATATAAATAATACACTAACTGAATCAAAAAAAGTAAAGGAAATTTGATTTTGTAAATAAACAAAGTGTGTAAAAACACAAATTTAGGGTTAGAACGTCAACATTAGAAGCTACAGCCATATACTATTATCCATCATATGTAAAATTTCGTTTCCGGCATTTTTGAGTATTTCGCTTTTACGATCAAAATTTGAATTTACTGATTGACTATTTTCTCTTTAGGAGTTTAATACATAGGGATTGGGAACCGTTTAACCGTCTAAAAGTTGCTCCATAGTTCCGGGCAGAATTCTTTTAATGCCGGCCAAATTAAACGGTTAAACGATTAAGAAAAATTTTTAGGCGGTTCCAATCCCTAATAAGTAAAGCCCCGTTACGTATACTACATCTACGTATGGAGTCTTAATTTAGTTCTACAGCACGATTTTTTGTCCTAAAAGGAATTGTATAATGACAACGATAAATGTACATCAAATATTAGATCATATGATTAAATATCCTATTTATTTAAGTAGCTAAGTCATATGCCGTGATTTATTAGTTTTTAATAAATTATTAAATGCGTACCACCTATTTTAATCACTATTATGTATTCAAGCATCTTATAATTCATAGGCAGAAGTTTGTCTTAATAAATTCAATTTAATTTAGAGTACTAATCATAATGAAATAAAAAAAGCTGTATATAAGGTTTTATTAGAGCTGTAGGACTCCATATCCAAAAATAAGGTCTAATTCTCGTCCGTTCAAAAAAGTTAGTATAGTAATAACTTCTCAAAACCCGATAAAATCAACTTATTAATAAGCTAATTTTTTTAAACGGACGAGAATTAGATCTTATTTTTGGATATGGAGTCCTACAGCTCTAATTAAACCTTATATACAGCTCTTTTTATTTCATTATGATTAGTGTTCGTTTTTTTAAAAAGTACTCTAAACTGTATAAATAATGTAAAATTAAATTGAATTTATTAAGACAAACTTCTGCCTATGATCTTATAATATAGTTATTGGCTGCCGGACAAGAAGGCGATTATTATTAAATAGGCTTAGAGCCATACAAAGTTGCATCATTTGGCCATGCAAACTTAATAAATTGGTTCTCTCATAACCCGGGGTCGGGTCAAAATTTACAAAACTCAAAAAATTTTTCAAGTATACTTACTATCCGGGTGAGTTTTTTTATAAAAAATTTTGTTTTTTATATAAAATTTTTTGAAAATAAAATTAAAAGTCGGGTTGCCGGGTCACTTAAAATTTTACGTTATGAGAACCAATTTAAGTTTGTATGTATAAATTTATTAAAACATGGTACTTTTGGTGGTACTATTCCAGAAGCCATTTATAATATGACTTCAATATTACTTCATTTATTATCAACCATTTTCACACGTAACAACTGTCGTGCTTTCACACAAAATTTATGTATGTACGTACTACATATGTGCAAATTATAAATTATTTAAATGTCGAAAACGCGGATGATGTGCTCTTCATTTATAATAATTTGATCGGTGTATCACTAAGTTTGCGTCGATGATGTACGTACGTACGTATGTATGCACCTTTCTATTTGCATTATAAATATTTGTACATCACACACTTGTTTATTTTACGAAACTTGATTTTATACTTTTAAAATTCCGACTTTATAACAGCAAAGGGCTCATGGCCAAATGGATAAGGCGCCTGACTACGAATCAGGAGATTCCAGGTTCGACCCCTGGTGAGCTCGCATCCGAAGTTAGTTTTTTGATCTTTTTTTTTCATTACGATGAGTGCCAATACTTTTTTTAAATTCCTTCTCATTTTATATAGAGTTTCTATTTAATCACACCGATATAATTAACTTCATACAAGTGGTTACATGAGTTCATAATAATCTAGACTAAGTCATTAGCAGAATAATTTCCAATCACTTAATCGAAGATCCTCGTACGGTTAAAACTTTACCCGTTCTATTTTCGTTGGATGAGTGAAACCCTGATCATAGCGATAGTAAATCATTAAATAAATACATTAAATACAGTTACAGGTTTTTACTCCACAACATATATATATTTATCGAAATAACAACATGATTTAAACATATATTTTCGTAAAGTCTCGAAATAATGACATGAGCTTACGACCCGAATTAAGCTCATACCCCTAGATGTTATCTCGTATCTTACACAAGGACGATGATCACAGAAACAACAGAATTTTCCTTAAAAACAGCTAGGATTTATGAATTGATAACATGACATTTTATATGATATTGACCAATTATGTCACGATATTCAGCAATTATCATTCATGTGCGTACATACGTAGACATATTTCATAATAATTTTTAAACGCATTAGAACACAAGAATTAAACACTAACCTATATGCTACAGAATTATACGTATAAAAAACCAATTTTATTATTACAGAATATGTTACATCACATCACTTAATTTTTCTTATCCACACATAGAATTTGGTTTTAGTCACAGCAGTATATCATAGTACTTACGTAATTTTGTGCAAGTTTTGATAAATGTAACAGCTCTTTAGCGTTGAATGATAAATTAAATACTGACCCTTGTACATGTGTTTTAATTTTACAAAATATTAGCTAATTTCACATCTCGTCACTATGACAAAATGGCACAGCCTCATGTTGCGGCTGGTGATTTACATATTAGTAATAATAGTTGGATACGGCATATATATGCGTAACGTGATACAATTAACGTTATACGTATAAATACTTCAAATACATAAGTACGTACCGGTACGCACGTACACACTTGTTGTTAAAAAAGAAGCCACTGATCTTATCTTTTCTTATGGTATCAAAAATATTTATGGGCGATATGCCCGAATTGATGGAAAACATTCTCAACCATTTAAATAAAGAAGTTTGTTCCTTATACTCATGTGCCCTAGTGAGTCGACATTGGTGCAAGATATCAATTCCTATTCTTTGGCGAGATCCATTTTCATTTGATGAAAAATCTATGTTCATATCAAATTATTTTTCATCCCTTGACGAGGAGGAAAAATCTATGTTAAAAGAATTTGGAATAATCTTCGATTTTCCTAATACCTTATTTCATTACGCTGGCTTTTTAAAGATTCTCAATTTATTTAGTCTAGAGGAAAAGGTTAAACAATGGATTAGTTTGCAATTTTTTAATTCACAAAGAAATATCGATATATTGAAAGAAGATATTATTAATTTACTATTTAAATTATTTGTTGAAAGTGGTGCAAATTTATCAAAGTTAGAATTCTACGTTTCTAAATTCATCATCAAACCTGAAGTATTTTACTCTTTGGGTCAAAATATGCAATTTTTCTCTAAACTTCAAGATTTTGTTATATCAACTGAAGAATCGGGTTCGGATTTATACATCATCGATGAAGATATTACTTTATTAAAGATTCTGGCAAAAAAAGCTACAAAAATCTCTAATTTGAGTTTCGATTCCTTTGATTATATGTGTAGACCAAGATTATGCTCGGCATTGGTGAACATTATTAAATCTCAAGAACATCTTAAACGTTTCAGTTTGAGTTGTGAAGAAGGTTTACAATCGGAATTACATGGTGTTGTTTCCGCTCTAAAAAGTCAGAGTGAATCTTTACAAGAAATTTGTATACATAATTGTGCTTATAGTAATGAATTTGAAGTACTTATGGATTGTAAAAAATTGGAAATTTTTCGTATTTTATATTGTGAAGAAGAAGAGAAACTATTGAAAATTTTAAATAATGATCATTGTAAAATCTCCACTTTAGATATAAGCTCTTACCCGATTGATGCGTCGATTATCTTACAAATCTTAAAAAAATCTGGCTCTTTATTAAACAGATTAAAACTTGACTCTGAAGATCAAGAAATTTGTTCTCAATCATTATTAATAGAAACTCTTATGTCCTCTTGTCCAAATCTTACGTATCTTTACATTTCTTATATTGAACTTTCTTCTCAACTTATAAAACTTATTGGTAATTTACAAAACCTTCAATTCCTCACCTTATTGTGGATAGATGATGGTTCTGATGAAATAGCAAAGACACATGTTACGCGATTGGCTAAAATATTGCCTTCAACATTGGAATATCTTGATTGGGGGAACGTTAGATCTAATTCCTACTTGGACATTTTGATCGATCATTGTGATGCTCCTTTAAAAAAACTATTATTCAGTATTGATTGTGATTATGAGAAAACAATTCAGGCGTTAATAGGATTTTGTGTAAGAAAAAGGTCTTTAAATTACGTGAATTTATTCAAGTATGTTTATGGATTTAGATATGTTAGTGGATATCATATATCTACTACTGTTTTGAATGATCTTAAAAAAGATTTGGAAGGATATGCTGAGTTGGTGCCATATAGACATATTGTTGTTGATTGTTAAATAAATAAATGTCTTTTTAAGGTTTATAAAATTTCTTTTATAATATTAAAATATTATTACCTTTTTTACCTAATCCTTAAATTTCACGATGCTTAATAATCCTGTAAAAAATGATAGAATACATATTAATAAAATTATAGAATATTAATAAATTTCGTAATTATAATATTATACGTATTAATGTACTTAGTGATTGTATTAAAATAATTATACAGTAAATGAGGAACGTGTATGTGCATATACCCATATGTTTTATATAATAAATTATTTTTAATTAACATACACGTAGTATTAATATACTAGATAGTTAAAAAAATTATACGCATATATTGCCAGATGACCAAAATAAGCTATTGATTTTCTCCAAATGACTGAAATGACACTTTTTTTTGCCAGAATAGCTTGAATTATTCGATCATAACAATCAAAAACGAATATGGTAAGGATGATCACACAATCATGAAAATCTATAACTTAATGCAAATAAACTAGAATAACGAAAAAAAAATTTTCTTTATTCATTATATATTTAAAATAATGGAAACTCTATGATAAATTTTCAGTACACACAATATGGAAACGATTAATACTAAACAAGATGATAATGATAATAGTCAAGATGGTGCATTAGTATTATGGAAATATAATAATCCATTCTCAAATTATAAGCGGGATCCTGAGAGAATTTTTGTTTTTAATGGGTTTACCCGTAAATAATCAATATCTTTGAATCTCATGCAATGTTTAAATTATCAATGTTACTAATAAAATTTGTAACTATTCTTTTTTTTCTTTAATATGAAATCATAATGGGGATTTTAAAAAGTTAAGATATCGCAAAAATTATCCGATCCAATTGATATTACGCAAAATACAGGAAATATAGTTTGGGATGGGGTGATTATAATATTTATTCTAGCTCATCTCTTTTACAGTCAGGTTTCTTCGTGATCGCTCTTATTAAACCTCTTTAAACATCTTTCATTTTATTTTAAAGGCATATATATTAAGTAAATATATAGTAGATCATCTAAATCTTGATTATTTAGTCGACACTAACCGTCGAAGAAAAATCAGATTTTTAGAACTAGGATCAGGATGTGGTCTTGTCGGATTAGTTGCTTGGCTCACTGGTATCACACCTTCTCTTTGTATCTTATTTCTTTTTCACAATACGTTAATTTTTTTAATTTGGTTTACAATAGGTGGGTATGTAGTTTGTACGGGTATATTCAATGATATCGAACACACAAAGTTCAATATTAAACAGAATGCTGAATATGTTATGAATCAGCAACAAGATCAACTTGAATATGATGGAGGCAAAGATGATGTGGTTGAAGATAGAAGTAAAAACGTTCATACAAAGAAAATGTTACAAAATTTAGATTTATTAAATAAAGATGATATTCAAGTTCACGTTCTAGATTGGTATGTCATGCATTCTTGTGATATTCGAATTACCATTATTAATATTAATATTAATTTATAAGTTTTATACCTAAATAGGACATCACTACCAACCGCTGAAGATACTACAAACCCACTTCACAAATCAAATATTCAACCATTTGACATAATTCTAGCATCAGAAATATTATATTTACCAGATTTACACAAAGATTTGGTCAAAACTATTTGTTATTTTAGTCATTCAAAACCTATAAACGATCAAGAAACTAGTTCCAAAAAAGAAATGAAATGTGAAACACGAGTTTTGGGAATCTATAAACAACGTGGATTAGGTGAAGAACAATTTTTCAACATTGCTCGAATTTTTGGAAAATTTAGAGTTGAATGGGTAATGAATGACTTGATTTAACAAATTATTTTCATTATCGTACAAGCACTCTAACATTATTATTATAATCTTTTCTGAATAGATTGATACTAATTGGATCTATCAACCTTCTATTGAATCACATGTGAATCAATTGCAGTCAACAATTTCGTCCACTTACTCCGAGTATAAAATGTTTTGGGTGATTCCTGATTCTTGATTGATTAATGAATATATATTTTATTATTCTCGATCAATAAAACTTTATTAAATTTTTATTTCGTAGAAACATTTACATGAAATGTCTCATTGAATATGTTCTACTATATATAACGTTGTTAGTTATTACATCTTATGTTTGCGGTTCCGCATTTGCGTGTATATATAAAGTGTAATAAATTTTTATGTGAAAAATTATCACAGTGAATTCATGCGTGAAATATAATCAAAACTTGATGAATAAGTTATGCAGACTAACCAAACTTAAGATTTTGCAGGCCTAAACTATTTTGACATATATAAAATCTATAAAAGTATTTAAAGACAATATTAATATGAGTGGTACCAAGAAAAAATTAGACTTCAGAAACTTAAAACTTATAATTCACTGGACTCAGTTTTTAAAAAGTTTGTACAATTATATCTAGGATTCTGCAAATGACTATGCCCATAGACGCGAAAGGGCATAAAATACCAGCATATTAAAGGTATAGGCACAAAGTATCGGGCATTACTAAAGTCATGGGGCACAAAAGTATCAGGCATAATTAAACAATAAATATCAAATTCCTGTACTTGTGTTCATACCCATATCAAAATTTTTGTGCCAAAATTTCAAAGCCATGCTTAAGTTTTTCTAAGGGAAGTGTTACTTATTATGTAGATATAGGGTACTTAGGGAAATGTCAATTGACCATGTTTTATACTCTCAAAGTCTTTTTTTTTCCTTAAGCAGTCATGCTAGTGCTTTATTAAGGTTCTTGGAATTACTTTTGCAATTATATAGATGGAGAATAAGTATCAGTATTATTTATATAAAATGAGTTAAGATATTTAAGTAAAGAAAAGTAGGCTCAAATATAATCAATAGTGCTGTGATGTCTGCTGCTATGTTATGTATATAAGGAGATGTTTGTATAGTCTGCTAGGTTGTATATGTTATTGTATTGTAAGAATTATAATAATTTGTATTGGATAGATAAGAAGGTGAAATTGTTAGATAGCATATTAAAAGTTATCATATTATAGATAGGATGTTATAATTGGTTGCTTGTTAAAATTATTAAATGTCAGTGTTTTGTATTTTGAAGTCTTAGTTGTAAATTTTTACATAGTAGATAAATTGAAATAATTCTGAATTGGTGATTATGTTTGAAGAATAGATTAATAGCAATAGTATAACCTGATAAAATAAAAATATTATTGATATAAGATATAAATTGTTTGTGAATTATAAGTGCAGTTCTTACTTTGAAACTGTTAGTACAAAACTAGAAGTAAAAGTAATGTGTTGAATTGTTAAATTTGATAATAGTATTTTCTTTTGCTATTTTAGTTTCAGTAATACTTATAATGTTTAAGAAATAAAAAATGCATTAATTTTTTATACTTGTTATTTAAGGTTTTTATTGAATCTTTGAACATTATAAGTACAGATTATAAGATTTAGAAAAGAAGAATTAAAGATATACATATTACAAAAATAGGTTTTTTTTTATTAAGGTAACCTTTTTGATCTTTTAATTTTATTAACACTTTTTGGATAATATAGTTCTATAGAAACTACTACAAGAGTGTACAACTGATTACATGTATAGCTTTTCTATATTACTATTTAAGAAGTTCATCCAAGAGTTTTTCATCAGTTGCCATATCTAACATCTTTGCTTAGGTGTTTCATTTAAATTTTTTGAACCTATAACTCATGTCAACTTTATTGAATTATTTCAGATTCTCATCTCAACCTTAGAACTGATTTATCTTTAAAATAAATCTTTTAGAGCCTTCTGTATTCCTATTTACAACTGATATGAACTCACTATAGCTAAACTAATACTTGCAATCAGGGCTAACCATTAAACTGTTATACTTTTATAAAATTTATACAACCCAGTACCTACTTTACAACCTACCAGTGCCTTGTCTATCCTTACAAGTCCTTTTATACTACTAATTTAGTAAGCTCTGTATAATGTGACTTCATGTCTATATCAACTATTAATCAGATTGGTGAATTCTTTTTATCTAAAAATTCTTAACTATAGAAGTTATTTGTTTTAGATTTTCTTTTTCAGATTAAGATTTTTACAGATAGTACCATCAAAAATTGTACTATCTTTCTAGGAATTTTTAAACAAAACTTTTTATAGAGTATATACTTTTTGGATTTATTTATATAACATTATACACTCCTAAAGTTAGTTTTGGTATAATCAAAATTAAAGAATTATAATCTCAAATATCTTGTTCAAGTTATCAGAATAGAATTATTTTTTAAATTTCTGCTACTAATAGAATTTGAACTTTAAACCTACTGTTTAAAAGATAACAATTCAACTACTATACTAGGATTGCCATTCTTACAAAAATAGGTTTTCAAAAAAGACATATTTTATTTTTATTAGAATAAATTAAATTTTTTTATAAAAAGAACAAATTTAATTTATATATTTATATTTTTTATTTTTATTTTTTTGGTATTAAGGTAAGGCCTTGCTCGTATCTTTATTGGTAGTTTAAAAATTAGTAGCTACATGGAGCTGCTA